GTATCGTCGACAGCACTGAGTTGATGGACCGGGTGCGTTGGATCAAGACTCCCGAAGAGGTAGCGGCGCTCGAAGCTGGAGCCCGGCTTTTGGACGAAGCATACCTGGAGGTGCTGCCCACGGTTCGGCCCGACGACACAGAAAGACTGGTGCATAGCCGCATAATCGAGAGCTGCCTGCGCCGGGGCGCCAACTGGGCCCACGGCATCCTGAACTCCAGTCGCAACACGGTGGCCTACGGCGGCGAAAGCGACCTGGCTTTTGAAGCGGGCGACATTATCCGCAACGATTATGTCGCATATCTTAACGGCTATCCCGGGCACCAGTCGCGGAGCGTCTGCGTCGTGCGCCCTCAGACGAACAGAAACGGATTTACCGGGTCACGAGAGACATCTACCGCGCCACTATCGAGCGGTGCCGCCCCGGGGCGCGGACCGCGGACATCTACCACTTTGCCAACGACAGTTTCCACGAAGCCGGGTTCCAGGGCAATGTGTCCCTGGCCGGGCATGGCGTAGGCGCCTGGTGGCACCAGCAGGAACCGTACATGGTGCCGTCCAGCACGCGCGTCCTGGAGGAAGGGATGGTGGTGGCCCTCGAACCGCACATCGGCTACTGGCACCTGCAGGACATGGTGGTGGTCACCGACGACTCCCCCAGGCTGTTGTCGCCGCTCTTTAACACCGACGAGATGCTGGTGGCCGGGTAGGGGTGGCGTGCGGGAGGCGCGCCTGTGGTGGATCAACATCAATGACGTGGTAATGGAAGTCCGAAATCCTGGTCGGCGCTCAATGACCGATCCAAGGCGCTCACACAACGGGCGTCGCGCGAGGTGAAGCAACGTGCCGAGAAGCTGTGATTGCCCAAAAGGCGGGTGCATTCTTACTGCCCCCTCGTGCGTACAAACTTCTGTTAATTTGTTCAGTGCGAGAACGCAATCAGGCGTCCGTGGCAATGTCGTTCTGGTATTAACTACTCCCGGCGACCGCCCGTTTTACAGCGACGGGATCGCCACGCTACGCTCGCAATGACAAAGTGAGCAAGGTTAGGGTCGGTAATCGGGCCGGCTTGGGCGGTTTAGTGCGCCGGGTGTCCCGCGGCAAGCGTTATTGCCGGCTGTCCTGTCGCGGTCACCGACGCGGTCACTGTCCGTGATGTCGTCTAGTTTGGCCCTCAAGGTCTGCGTCCTTTTGGTTGATGGTAGGATGGGGATTGGAGCGGATCCCCGCACCGGCGAGAATGAAGGTTGAGCAACAAACCAAGATTTCATGCCAAACGCAAAACAGGAGACTTAGCCGATGAACATCCAGACTTTGGAGCGGAGTCCACAAAACCACCGGGGCGGGCAGGTGTCGCACTTACTCTTGGCCTCGGGCCATTTCGGGTCGGAGAACCTGGCCGTAACATGGGTTGAAGGTGAACCGGGCAGCGAACAAGCCGTCCATTCCCACGATGGTCGGGAGCAGGTGTACGTGGTTGTCCAGGGACGCGGGGCGATGCGGGTGGGGGACGAGGTGGAAGAAGTCGGGCCGGGCACAGCCATTCTGGTACCGCCGGGCGCCAGCCACTCCATCCGCAACATCGGAGAGGAAAAGTTAATCTACGTCTCCGCAACTTCCCCGCCCTTTGAGATGCAGGAGGGCAATACCAGCTGGTCGGCTCCGGCCGGGCGGTAGGAGGATATCACTTTGCCCCGCGCCACCGCCTAAAAACGGATCAAGATGGAGTAGCTGCCCGTCAGGTAGCGCACCACCGGCCCCACTATCCGGCCCAGTCCCAGCCTGTCCGGCTCCTCGCTGTGGGGCCGCAACGCCGCATATCAAGGTCAGGCTGACGACACTAGATTAAGCGTGGTGCAGTTCAACTGGCCGAGGCTCATCAGATTAAAGGCGGCCACTAATCTGATATATTGACCCCGCTTGCTGACATACATTCTTCAAGGAGGCCGCATATGGGGCCGCCCGACCCTACTTTATTGTCCGAACAATTCGGCCCGCTACAGGGGGTGCGCATACTGTCCACCGGTACCATCGTGGCTGAGCCGGTGGCTGCCGGTATGGCGGCAGAGATGGGCGCTGAGGTGATCCATATCGAGCGTCCTGGCAAAGGCGAGGACTGGAGGGAGGCAGAGTTTCCCATCGAAGCTCCTAACGGGGATCGGATAGCCAGTTCCTGGATACAGGATCGGCGCAACACCTATTACACTACCCTGGATTTCAGCACGACGGAAGGCCGCGAGATTTTCCTGAAGCTGGCGCAGCGGGCCGACATCTGGATGGAGAGTTCCAAAGCCCGCACCTACGACAAGTGGGGACTGGATGACAACGCGGTTTTGGCAGTCAATCCCGCTATAGTAATCTGCCATGTTTCCGGGTACGGACAAGACGGCGACCCGACATACGTGGACCGGGCTTCTTACGATTTCACGGCCCAGGCCTTCGGCGGCATGATGAATCTGATGGGCAATCCCGAACCGGACCCACCGACGCGGGCAGTGCCCTGGACCGCTGACTACATAACGGCCCTGTTCTGCCTGTGGTCGTCATTGGCCGCATACATTTACGCGCAACGCACCGGACAAGGCCAGGTCATCGATCTCGCTCAATTCGAGGCGGTGCACCGTATTTTGTCCGGCACTATGGTGGCCTATCATGAGCTGGGACTGGTACGGGAGAGGGCAGGCAACAAGGCCGGGAATGCGCAGCCCTGGGACACATTTCGGGCCAGCGACGGTTGGGTCGTTGTCGCTGCCGTCGGGCCGGTGGTCTACTCCAGGGTCTGCCATGTTCTGGGGTTGGACCCGGATGAAGAGAAATGGATCTCGGCCCGGCGTGAGGTCAATTCCGCTGAGGGTATTGAGTTCGACGCCATCCTCCGCGGCTGGGTGGAAGACCGGACGGTGGACGAGGTGGTCAGGATTTTCAACGAAGCGCAGGTTGGCTGCAGCCGGATCATGAATGCGCGGGAGATGGCCGAGGACCCCCATTATCGTGCCCGGGGTAGTGCACGTGGAATGGGAGGACCAGCAACTGGGAAGGACGGTGAAAGGCGTAGGCCCAGTTCCCAAGTTATCCAAACGCCGGGCAAGATCTGGCGTGGTTCGGTCCCGGTGGGTCACGATAATGAGCTGGTCTATTGCGACCTGCTGGGAATTGCGCCGCAAACCCTCCGCGAACTGGCTGGGCGGGGAGTCATCTGAGGGCCGCCAACCAAGCCTTACGGCAACAAACCCCCGGCGTTCCCGGGGGCATTTCCTGTCGCGGCGTATTTTCTGGTAGGTACAGCAGAACTGGAACGGCCGACGTACCATATCGACACTTCAGGCAACCGGCAACTCCCGTCCCGTATCGGACGCCTGCTTGATCGTATCAAGAAAGCGATGGAGGTCAACAGCGGTATCGAATGTCGGCAAGCGGCTCTGCCCGGTGTTGATTGCCTCAGCGAACAGGGCATACAACTGCCCGACATTGAACGGATCTCCGCTGGGAAAGTCGTCCGGCAGGTACACGAAACGCTGGGGTATGGTCAGGTCCTGCAACTCGTGGCTTGCCTTTGCACCTTGCACGCGCAGCATCTCGCCGCGTTGGGATGAGACGTTCCCGGTGGTGACCAGCGTGCCTTCCCGACCGTAAATCTCCATACGAAAGCCGCTGCCGGCCCAGGGGACGGCTCCGACATGGACCGACGCCGCCGCGCCGCGCTCCAGCTGTCCGGATACTCGTACGTTGTCCGGAGAGGTGACCTCTACGAATTGCTGAGTATCGGTCTCGTACCACCGCTGCACCTGGGTAGTGACCATGCACGCCACGCGGGTGAAATTCCCCAACACGAAGCGCAAGGCGTCAATGACGTGTCCGTTCGCGATGGTCAGGGTGTTCGCGCCCTGGCTGGGGTCGCGCTGCCAGGTGTTGCTGGAAAGGCGTTCCAACGATCCGTCGCGCATCGTGGTGACATGACAAGACAGCACCTCGCCTACGTAACCAGCGTCGATCAGCTCCCTTGACATAAAGCAATGCGGGGCTAACTCGCGATTGCAGACCCACTGCGGTTTGCACGCCTTTGGCGCGAGCAAGGGTCGCCAGCTCTTCGGCTTCGGCGGTATTTCGGCCCAATGGCCACTCGGTCAAAACGTGCTTCCCGGCTTCGATGGCAGCCTTGGTTGGCTCGTAGTGGGAAGGCACCCGCACTACCACGGCCACCGCGTCGATCTCCGTCGACGACACCATTGTCCGGAAATCGTGGAAGGCGAGCTTTGCTCCAAAGGCTTGGCGAGCCTCTTCCGCGCTCTCGGGCCTGGTGGTGCAGACTGCAGTGAGCTCGACATCCGGACTGGCCAGTAGCGCCGGGAAGTGCGACTGGGTTGACCAGTTCGAGCTAACGTTAGCTCCCACAAACCCCAGGCGAATCTTGTTTGCCATTACGCAGGCTCCTCAAATGTGTTCAAAACAATATAACCCAAGTAAATGCCCACTCTCAACCAGAACCAAGATCTGTAACAGTTCAGGTTCGACGTGTGATTTCCATACCACTCCGTCATGCCGGCCATACCATTCCGTCATTCCGGCCTTGAGCCGGAATCCAGAGACGTCTTTAAACCGCAATGTTGCCAATCCTCGGCTTCCTGGATTCCCGCGTTCGCGGGAAAGACAGGTTCGGGCCAGGATACTACCTTCAACTCTGAACAGTTACCAAGATCTCACGCCTACGCACTCTAATCTTACATTGCGGGGAGCACAGCGACGTGGCAATCTCGTCGCCGTAGCAACGGCGGTTCGCCGACGTGGGTTCAACCTGATCGAGATTGCCAACCCCCGCATCGAGTACGGGGTCGCAATGACATCAGGGAACAATCGAAAGCCCCTGCGTGCTGGCCGACATTCCTGGCAAGTCCTGATCGCTTCGCACACTCTATCCCCAGTCCAGGATGAGCTGGGTCCATCGTTTGCGCACCACAACCTCGCCCGGCGACGGGAGATAATCTGTGTCAATGGAGTATGCCCTCAGGCGGATCCGGTCGTTGGCCGGGCGCCAACAGCTTCCCAACGTCGCACCTGCTGAATCAGGCGCTCGGCATGATCAGACCATGATCCGTAGCCTCGCACGAATAGTTCAAACCCAGCGAAACCGACTGGCTGCTCGGATGCGGAATATCCATCGGGAGGGCGGGCAAAGACACAAAGGCCATCATCCCCAAGCAGTCCATTAGTCCAACATCTTCTCCACTCTCCTGATAATTCCATCAAACCTGCCACGATGCCGCGGTCTGCCATCTGATCCTCGGCGGATAGGACGCAGAAGCCGGGCTCGTGTAAACTGAGCCAGAGAGCCAATCCGCCAAACATGACCTCACCCGGAGTTGCATATATCCCGGTGGGCGCATATTCAGACGGGCCTGACAGTAGGCGATAAACAACCTCTCCATCCACTTTTGTCGGATCGTCAACGGACACAACGAGCCCCGGATCCGGGCCCAATGGAATGTACTCCAGGGGCCTGGCGAAGTCGCCCCTGAGGGGCATGAACCCGCAATCCTTGACCGACGCGCTTTCCAGTTGGTCGCCTATTTTGTCGAAAGCGACCGATTTCTGAACGCTGCGACCAACCTCCAACGGTAAGAGCAACCGTCCCCCCGGTTTCAACTGCTCTCTCCAGGCGGGAGCGATATCCCATGCTGCTACCGTCAGGATGATCCGGTCGTAAGGTGCGTTGCCCGGGTACCCGAGGCCTCCGTCACGGCAAACCACGGTTACGGCATCCAGGCCCGCCACACTCAAGCGGTTTCGGGCGCCTTCGACGAGGTCTTCATCGATGTCAATTGTCGTGACCTGCCCGGAATCGCCGACGATGTGCGCCATCAGACCCGCGTTATAGCCGGTACCCGCACCGATCTCGAGGACGCGGTGGCCGGATTGCAGGTCCAGTTGCTCCAGCATTATGGCCATCATGGCGGGCTGCGAAGAGGAACTGACTAGCTGTCCGTCCTGGCGCTTGGTAAGAATCGCTTCATCACGGTAGACCCTTTCCAAAGGTACTTCAGGCAGGAACAGGTGCCGTGGGACAGATCTGAAGGCTTCCTCCACCCTCGGAGACTGGATTGCCCCTTTGCTCTTGAGTTCTTCCACGTAGTCTTCGTGGAGCCGGGTGATTTGGTTGGCGCCCAATGACCCTGACACAGATTTCTCCCTCAGTCCAGCAACGCTCTAAGGTGACCGTATGCTGTATTTCTGGTTCGGTCTCCCCTATGGTAGGTACTTATCCTCCATCTCCCGAATGCGCTGCGCCCCCAGGATACCTCCGTTGCTGGCCACGCCCCACCTGCTTTGAGAAGCCGTCGCCAGGAATTCGTCGATGGCGCCGGTGCCGCGTTCCTGAAAATCGCTGAGGAAGTCCCAGGATGCCTGAAGCCCGGCCATGGTAGTGAGGCCGGGATACCAGGCCGCGGCAGCCCCTGCTTCCTGCAACTCTTCCAAAGTGGGATGAGTCTGGCTCCCGTGGGTGAACAGTGGCAGCACCGGACCGGGAATCCGCCGGATGGCTTCCTGGTTGTCCTCCCAGGACGCTACGGCGGGGCAGACTACGTCCACGTTGGTCTGGCTCTTGTAGGCCAGGCAACGCTCCATGACGTCCTCGAAGGTTGCCCCTGGGACACCGGCGTAATCGCATCTGGCCACAATTACGAAGTCCGGGTCCAGCTCCATCTTGGCGTCCATGGCGGCCCTCAGTTTGCCGACCATCTCTTCGATGGAAACGCACCGGCGGCGGGGGCCGCTCTTGGGTGGGTAGGTCTGGTCCTCCAGGTGGGTGCCGGCGATCCCGGCACGGATGTACTCCTTCACCGTCTCGTAAACCGTAACGGCATCTCCGTAGCCGGTATCCATGTCGACGAACGCCGGAATGTCCACCGTGTTTACGATCCGCCTGGCATTGTCCACCATGTCTCGCATACTGGTTCCGCCCTCGGTCCAGCCCATGAGTTGGGCCGAGGTATTTCCCCCGGACATGTAAAAGGCCTCGAACCCCAGCACCTCGGCCATCTTTGCGCCCATGGCGTTCATCCCGCCGGCCAGAACGAAAATCTCCGGGCGCTCAAACAGCTCCTTGAGCCTGGTAGTCATACGTTTTCTCTCTTGCATCACTCTTCCCCCTTTCGGTATTTCGTGTATGCCCAACCGTCCCGTCTTCCGGGGTTGGTTTCAAGCAAGACTATCGTAGTTGCAGTTTTGCGCTCAGACCGGCAATGCAGCCTCGAGCCCGGGCCTTAGCGCCAACGCATCGGACGCCCACAGGTCAGGCCGCCACTGCCCCAGCATCAGGAGTTTGGCCGGGGATTCGGAGCGGAGGAGATGACTACCTGTGCTTCGGGCTGTTCCGGGTACTCTGGCAGGTTGGAACCATTCCCCGGGAGCGGTTGGTGCGTTTTGCCGCTTATGGCGTGGATTCCCCGGGCGCGGCGCGTACTCTGAGTGGTGGTGGTCATGGGCGGCAGTGTAACAAAATGGGCACTTTTGTTGCATCGTGCAACTTTGAACCCCCGCGGTGCGAAACACTTCAATGGACCGTCTTAGCCATAGAAGCAGATTTCGCCGAGGTTCTTTGACCCGGCTCGGATCGTCCATCAGCTGTGATGCGCCGGTTCCAGCCATTCCATACCAGGCATGACCGCAGTCTACCTGCTCTACCTGGCAGTGGAGGGTTACCATTGGCAGCGACTCCACCGGGAGGCCTTTTGGCGCCGTGCCCTCCGATTCCCCGGGGCGGGTGGTTCCAGCGCCGACGCCGACACGCTCGGCCAACCCGGATCGGTATATACCGAGCTGCCAGGTTGTTTGTATGATGTGAGCACCGAATTCATGATTGGCGCTGTACGAGACGGGGTGTCGGACTGTTTTTGGATGCCGCGTAAGCAGTGGCGCACGGGCTTCTCCAGTGGAGAGGTTCAGGAAGGAAGAAGGAATCACTACCAATGTTGGAACCGCATTCCCTTCGCCGGACAGCCCTTATTTTGGTCTTCGCAGGTCTGCTGTGGAACCTGGTAGAGGCCGGGGTTTCTTTGTGGGCAGGTGTTGAGTCTGGCAGTGTTGCCTTGCTGGCTTTTGGCCTGGACAGCGTTGTCGAACTTCTAGCTGGCGGGGTCCTGGTGTGGCGGTTGAGCGGCGGACGGGACGAATTGGAGGAGGGGGCCGCGGAGAGACGGGCACAAAAGTTGCTGGGACTCAGTTTCCTTTTGTTGGCGGTATACATTGCCCTTCATTCAGGCGCCAACCTGCTGGGATGGTTCCCCGAGCCACAGCCGAGCCTGATCGGTGTTGGAATTGTGGTCGCAAGCGCGGTGGTGATGAGTGTCCTCTATGTGAGCAAGATGCGCATCGCCACCCGGATGCAGTCCAGATCGTTGAGAGCGGAGGCTCTTGAAAGCCTGTTCTGCGACCTCCAGGACCTCACCGTTCTGGTGGGATTGGGGTTAAACACCCTGCTTTCCTGGTGGTGGGCTGACCCTGTGTCAGCCCTGGTACTGGTTCCTCTCTTCGTCAAGGAGGGCTTGGAGAATCTGTCAGGTGATGAGGAAGGGCACGAAGATCCGGAACGGCGTGTCTGCTTTTGCCACAGTTGTTGTTACGGTTTGCTTACCTGTCGGGCAGCTTGCTGCGTGGCATAGTCGGGTGATAGCCGTTGAGTCCCCGCCCGTAAAGGCGATGGAGAAGACGCCCTGCATCGCTTCAATTTCGTCAGCACCGCCGAGCCGGAGATATCACCCTTGGACCCGGCCATCGATCCCAATCCATCTGATTCAAGGCATGATTGCGGAAGCTGTCCCTGGTGATGTGGCGATGAGACAGGCACCGTGGGCCGAATGCCGAAAGCGGGTTGACGTCGGTGGGGAAATTCAATCTTTTTGACCGGAGAATGATCAGGCATGGAAGTCAAGATCACACCGCATCCGGGACCTGGGATAAGCAGACCCAAGAACCAAAGGGCCGAGGCAGTCGCTCTGGGCCATGATTTTTAGCCGGCCAAGGCGCAATCCCTGGAAGTCGGATATGCCGACCGGTCTGCGCCCAGCCAACCTGATGCCGTTCCGGATACGGGTGATCTTGGCGTGAATTTGCCCGACAATTGTTGGTCAGTATGCGGTCACGCCCCGGACCTTGGTTCGCAGGCTGTAAACCGAATCTCCGGCGGTAATGAACATAGTATTCAGATCCGGCCCACCAAAGGCGAGATTGCGGGGCACCTCGGGGACGCGAATGGTACCCAGTCGGTTGCCCTGGGGATCGATTACCCAAATCCCTCCGGAGCCGGTGCAATATACTCTCCCCTCGGTATCCACTTTCATGCCGTCGGGCACTCCGGGCTCGGCCGACGACATATCGCAGAAGACCCGGTTGTTGCTGAGGGTCCCATCGGCGGCGACGTCGAAGGCTCGAATGCGCCGGTGGGTGCAGACCTCGCCGCGTTCGGCTTCCTGGGACGCAGCGGTTGTCCAGACGGCTGATGGCAACGTACAGAACCGACTCGTCAGGAGAAAGCGCCAGGCCGTTGGGGTATTCGCACTCGTCGGTAGCCACGCTCAGAGAACCGTCGGGGGCGATCCTGAATACGCCGGCGAAGCCCAATTCTCGCTGTTCAGCCGGCACGCCGAGCTCCGGATCGGTGAAATAGACGCTTCCGTCGGAGCGGCACACTATGTCGTTGGGACGGTTGAGCCGCTTTCCCTGCCAGCGGTCGGCTACCGTCGTGACGGAGCCATCGGCGTCCATCCGTGTGATTTGCCGGTTAGCCCCTTCGCACATCAGAAGCCGGCCCTGGCGGTCGAGAGTACAACCGTTGCCTTCTCCGGTGTCATTGCGGATGGCGACGGCCTCGTCCCCACTATCCCAGCGCATCAGCATACTTCCCGGTGTCGTACGTAGGTCAAATAGTTGCCGGGATGCCACAGAGGCCCCTCAGTGGCTCCTCCAGTGGTAACCAGGACTGGGTCGGCAGACTCTACAATTGCGGAAAGATCTTCTGGCATGGCTCGCATTCTCCTTAAAACGTACTATGTGGTACCAATTGCTGGCGCGATTATATCAACAAAGCCCGAACACGACCCAAATACCGGAATCCATCCGAATCGACTACTCTTGATGCTTGTCCCGCATCGCGCTACCTGGCGTTCAGCATGTTTTTGGCGCTGTTGGGTAGCTGGGCCGCTGCGGGATTTGAGACCGTGACGATTGTCGCCGAAGTCGGGCAAAGGTCGAAGGTCAATCGGATGTCGCAACCTGCTTCGCTGCGGTTACAATTGGCGGCGTGATGGAACCGGGTTGCCCGTCAACCGGGACGTCTGGAATATAGACTTGTGAAGGAGCAATTTCATGCCGGAGATAGAGAACAAGCTGAAAGAGTTGGGCTACGAGTTACCTGCGCCCCGGCCGCCGGGGGCCGGCAATATCATCCCAGCGGTTCGGACCGGAAATCTGGTGTTCCTTTCGGGCACCGGTCCGGGGCTGCCTGGGGGCGGGTTGCTACACGTGGGTAAGTTGGGCTCGGAAGTGACCGTTGAACAGGGTTACGACTGCGCCCGACAGACCATGCTGAATCTGTTAACCAATTTGAAGGGAGAGATCGGCGACCTGGATAAGTTAAAGAGGGTGGTCAAGCTGCTGTGCATGGTCAACTCCGCTCCCGACTTCGGAGACACGCCCCGGGTGGCCAACGGCGCTTCGGACCTGCTCATCAGCCTTTTCGGCGACCGGGGTCGCCACGCCCGTCCGCGGTTGGCATGGCTACGCTGCCAGGCGGAATGCCGATAGAAATCGAGATGATAGTCGAAGTGGAGGACTAGGTCTCGAGACCTTTGGACCGCGCTGGGCCGATGCCGTGACGATGGCCTGGCGCGCTCGAAGGGTCGGCCAACCTGTCCCGCCACCTTTTCTGGGGACCAGCCCTGGGCCAGGCGGGAAAGTGCCGCCTCCCACAGCCGCTGATCCCGACCGGCGTCATGGCCGCAGGCCAATAGTCGAGGCTAGCGGGGCCCGTCAGGAGGGTTAGTCGCTAGTCTACGAATGGTATCGGCCCATACGGCGGAGACCAAATATGCTTTTTCATCAACACTGGCAAATATTTGGTTGCCGCCAGGTGCAGGATGACCCAACAAGACCCTGATCGGCTGCATCTCAATAATGTTAATCACGAGCACAGATTCTGGAGGGTCCAGTCCCAAGGTTGGCTGGTCCGGGGGTTCGGTCGGATAGAGAAGTTCAGCACCACGAAGATTAGAGATCAATAGTAGTGTCCTGCCCAGTCTGGCACGTATACTGGAATATTGGATTCGCCCTGGATAACCCAGCACCGTCTCAGTAACCTGTTCTCGATCTCTGAAATAGGTTAATTTGAGGAATTATAAGGGGAGGGGTATCAGTCTCATTCCTCCCAGCGACATAGCCGGGAGCAATTTCGCCCGGATTTGCGACGTTGGAGTCGGCCCCTCGATGCCGGACCAAGCCGCCCGTGGACTTATATGACGTTTTTCTGCGGGGTACTGATACCTCTGAAGAAAAGGGGTGCCAGTGGCGAATGCTGCCGGCGGACTTCTCCAATTGGGCGCACTTGCTACAAGTATTTACGGAATGGAGCGAGCGGCCTGGCCCGGGCAGATTCCATTCTGGAGCAAGTCCTAAAAAAAAATCGGTTGGCGCGGCCCGACAAAGCAATTGGACGGGAAAGAGCAGACCAGCTTCTGCATCGTGGACTCACAGAGCGTCAAGGAACACGGACCCGCCGGGCAAAGGGGCTATGACGCAGGCACGAAGGTGTCGGGAATCAAGCGTCACATTCGCGGTGGACACGCAGGATTGCCCAATGGGATAAACGGTGACTACCGCCGACGTTACCGACCGGGCCGGGGCTTGGCGATGTTTGACGGCGGCGTGGGACGACCTCAGCTGGTGCGGAAGGCTGGTGGACGGGGGGCTACACAGGGGAAGCCCTTGCCAATGCGGTGCAAGGCCTGTTGGGAGCCTCGGTGAAGTAGTGTGAAACGAAACGAACGCAACCTTAGTGGTGCTGCGAAGCGATGGGGTGGTGGAGCGGGTCTTTCGCCTGGCTGGAAAAGTGCCGCCGATGGAAGAAATGCGAAAGAAAGCTCAATACCGATCGGCAAATGGTGGGTTGCTTCACGGTGCTAATCCTGAAAAGATCGTATGACAGAAACGATAGTAGACGGCTCTCAGGGGTTTCGGGCATATCCCACCTGCTCACCGGCGTGTTCGACCATAATTTTCGTTATCGACTCCTCTCGTACGTCATAGAGGTTATATGTCGCCCCAGTATTTGCCGAAGGCGGTGCGCTTGGCGTCGGTTGGAAACCTTTACCCTTCGTAGTTGCCGATGGAAATTCACTGGGCACGGATTGGGGAAGTTGATCCGTTGTATTTGCTGGAAACGTCGTATCTGGCGCAGACCGCTCCCCAGCATCAGTCAATTCACTGCAGGCGATGATTGTGATAATTGACAGAGCTATCGCTATCACCTGCGTGGGCCTTCCCACAGCGCTTGGTGTTCCTAATCGCACGAATTACTCCCCAAATCAATTATTGGCGGCGACGCGGGGTTAGGCCAACACATTAGTGCATTGGGCCCCACGAAATTCAGTAGGCGTGAAGTGCGACGGGGCGAACACAGGCTTGTTTAGACGGTCGGACTCGAACGAGCGCCTTGGAGTCAAGAGGATACGGGCTTCCGCCGTTGGATATGCCCCACTATCCTGACATTTCCCATTTTCCGCGTGTCCTCCACTTCAACTAACGTCAATTAGCGACTGCGGTTTGAATCCAATCAACCTGAGTATTTGCTCTGGATGGACAGAATAGGTCCCAGTTCCGGGGACGAAGGGTTGTTAGGGTTATGACTTCCCAAG